ACATAGGGACGAACCCTACGAATCTGAATATATTATCGTAGAAGAAGAGTGGGATACATCCTAGAAGACCAATAATCTCCCCGATCTTCTTGTAACAGTTATATATAAAATATAATCTTCTAGTAGACTAGAAAGTCTACTCCTAGTCAAGTCTTATGTAGAAAGATTTATTAATAAAATCACCCAGTAAGCAAAAGTGGACGTTGTTTACGGTTTCATAATAGAAGTTATTGCACAAACAGTTGATATGCAGCTAGTCTCTTTCGATAATCTTATCATTGGGCCTTGTTATATAGGCTATTCCATGATGCAATAATAAGGTGATGTATCAAAACAAAAACATCTGGGTTTTATTCGACCATCTATTAAATTTTATCTAGTAATATTTCTTGTGGTCGGCAACATTGTATCAAGTAGAAACTATGCATCAAACCCGCTGCTTCAAGTGTGCTGTCAAAATCCATTATTGTGAATTGATTTCCATTGTGAAAACGTAAACCATAATTTCTGACATTGAACTTAAAAAAACAGATGGGTGATATTATTAATAGATCTTGCTATGTACATGGACAGTTAATAGGATAGTCAGCTGTTCTGAGTACCTATTTATACGATATACAAACGATTTTATTCAGAATAGTCTTCTACGAACAAGAAAAAATCTTCAGTGATCTGCAATAGACCATAAAAGACCTTCAGCAGTATTCTATACACAACAGCAGACCTCTAGAGATCAGTAGAATATCTTCAGAATTCTTCTAGAGGCAATAAAAGGCCGTCACAGTTTATTTACATTGAAATCACCGAGGTATTCTCAAGTTTTATTGTCAACAATCGCTACGTTATTTACGTTTCTATTATGTGAAGTCAATTCACAATAATGGATTTTGACACAAAAACATGAGAAACAGCTGATCTTCCCAGAAATATTAAAAGTTAGTAAATATTTAATATTAGGTTATAAATTTATTTTATAATTTTTTCGAATTTGTAATAACAAATTATTAAAATGTTGTTCGTTTACCCAAAACTTTTTACCAGTAAATGAGAGTGAATTGAGAGAGCAGATTTGACAGTTTTGTTACTGAGTATTTGCAAATTCTTACAAGGAAAATTTACTCAGTAAGAATTTCCTTGTACCATCAGCTGATATTTAATCAGCTGTTTTGCTATATTTTGTAAACAAACAACAAAATTGTCCTCAACCAAATTGATTGTTTTGTGAATTTTATATTGATTTTGTATTATTAAACATTAAAATTGATGAAGAAAACGCAAGTATTGGTAAACAACATACATTTTCCGCTTGTTATCCATTTTTCTAATAAAAATGCTGTTTTTTAGTTTGCGCCAATTTGTTTGTTGTTTTAATCAGCTGGGTCGAAACAATTTATTTACATCGGGATAACTTAATGGCCTTAACTTTTCAAAATCTTCCTGGCCGGATGTATCCCACAGTGATAAACTATATTCTCTATTATCCACCGTTATAGTGCAGGCATGATTATCGAATACGGTGGGAATATACACTTTGGGAAATACATTTTGTGTATAGGCGATGAGCAGACAGGTCTTTCCGACCATACCATCACCGACAGTGGTGATTTTTATGGGACGTATGATATTTGTCATAGTGCGGCTGTAACAAAAAACCAAAAAGGTTTTGTTATTAAAAATATTCTTTGGAAACTGATACTAAAATAATAAAAAAATATTGGAATATATATAAATAAAAATAATTGATATGTCGCCCTATAGCTTAAGATGTAAATCCATTGTGAATAATTTGTATAAATAATGGCTCAGTTCCAATACTTTTTGATAGTAAAGCTAGTAAGAGTGAACGTATTAATAATGTCAAGATCTATAAATAAGATATTCCAGCAAGCGAAAGTCTAATGCCAAAAATTTTGACTTTGTTACCGTTTTCATAATGATCAAAGTCAATTCTCAATAATGAATTTTGACAACAAACTTGAGAATAAATAAGTTCATTCAGGGAGACCTGCTGGATATCAGCTGCTTCTCAAGTTAGATGTCAAAATCCATTATTGAAAAGTAATAATTATGAAAACGTAAACAAATCCCAAATTGTTGACAAAGGACTTGAGAATAATCAGCTGACTTTTGTTTGCTGGGTAATAGATCTTGTATTAAACTATTTGAAAAGGTATTTAAATCAAAAATGGAATGTCTTGATCCTAAAAAAAAAACAGATTACCGCAAAATTGTAGAATATCAAACGGTCTTTTATTAGTTATGTGTATTTTGGTATTGAGGCTAATATTTCAAACAAGTATGTAAAACACAACTGAAAGCCACATCTGTGTAGAAGAATTTCAATGTATTCGAGTTCAATGGATTATCTGGGAAATATTTAAAAATATATATGTTTTGTTTTTTAATACACACATATGGCCCTGAAATTCTTTAAAAAATTACTCCTATAGATCTTTACTTCTATAGATCTTTATCCAAATTAGTAGCAAGACTACAAAATTCTGATGCCAATCGAATTTTTATTTTCAATTTTCCCTTTATAAGTTTGAACACTTTTTACCACTTTTCGAAAATAAACTTACTTTTTTGTTTTTTTGATGATCAATTTCTGCTACACAAATGTTGACGATTTGTCGACCGTATGTATCAAGCTTTTTTGTTTAACTAAACGTTAATCAGGCCAGCACGTACGAGATAGCTAACGCATCCTCTCATGGGATATTAAAAATAGAAGGTGGTCTGATTTGCCTTCAAAAAAATAGTACGTTTACATTGTACAGGATTTTGTTAACCCAGTCGGTCTAAATTGTCAATTCCTTTGAATATATGTCAAATAAATAAAGTAGTCTAACCCTAACGTATGTTCCCTTTTAGCCAAGACAACTCGAGTTTGTCGTAGCAGCTGTTTCTCCTATGTTGCGACGCATGGGCGATCGTCTCCGATTATAGCATTCACACGATATTGTTCTACTGCCTAAACGACTGTGTCGGGTTCACAGTTGTACCTTGTACCTTTGGAACTCTCACAGGAGGAAGATAGCGCCCAATTGCTGCTGGCTAGCAACTTGAGGACCTTGTTACTACTTCTCAGCTTATCGCACCAAACAGTGGCTTACGCTGACAACTTGAAAAGGCTATTAAACATTAGTTTATGGTCGGAATCTGTTCATCATCGATCATTATGTTCAGCGAGAGCTTCATTTGAGCCGCCCCTGTGGTGAACAGTGAAGCAGTTTATTTGGTGGCGAATATTTTCATATTCCTCATATGGAAGAAATTTACAAGATCAGACATGTAAACGGTAGAGATTAAACAATTCCGTAGATATGATCCCCCCTTTTGGTTTTTGAAGTTCACAAATGTCTTGCGTCCACACATATAGTTTATTATCTAACGTTTCAGGCACGGCCAGAGATTGCTTTGCTCTATATTCTCGAAGAGTTTGGTATGGTATCGAAAGCAACCATAACTGTTTGGTTGCATAGCCTGTTCTTTTTAAGACCTCCACTAATGTATGGAAATGACGCTTAAAACAGTTGTGGTGTTTATGGAATCCATGCTGATGTTGGGTAACAGGAAAATTGGGAGAAGTAGCGCCTCAAGTATCTTTGTTACTGGCGATAGGAGTGTGTGATTCACTACTGCTGACATTCTTGCTTCAGTAGCGGGACCACCCTTCCTATTTTCCAGGCTTCAGAAACTACATGGGTGGTTAAGGACAATTTGATGGCTAATGTTAAATACTCAACTCCCGGTTAATCGAGGTACTTTTACCATTGATATTAAGTACGGGCCTAATACATTTTACGATTTAGAGTTTTAGAGGGATCGTACGACGACGTTCATTGATCAATATCGCCGCGACAGCTGGAAAGTTTGTTCATATTTCGGATCAGCAGGAATAAAGCGAGTGGCAGCATTAGTGATGATTCTATGGTAAGTCCTCTCAGTTACCCAAGGATCTGAGGAGGTGGGTAGCACTCTGAAGCGGTGATTTGTAAACTCTCAGTCAATCAGCTTTCACATGGTTCAGCAAAGAGGTGATAAAATCGGGTGGTCTATTGACGGAGATGAGTAATAATATGTACTGAATAGAATGGTGTAAAAAGAAGTCCCCCAACGTTGTAACCACCGCAACGCCGTAAGCTACAGTTCTCGGTTAACTTTGATTCATAAATTTCACAATTTCGCAGATCTTTTGCGGAGACCATTATAGTTGAATTGCAGGGACGATGCATTTTTGAGGAGTGTGGCGCTAAGTTTTGTGTGTTTTACTGACTGCGGGAGCGTCTCGTATTCGGACGACGACGAGTCCGACGAAAATTCCTGAGGCACACTAGGAGACGTGCTATAGCAGTATGAAACGACGTAACTCCAGAACCACCAAGAAAATGCATCCATTATCTACATTCAATGCTTGTACAAGTCGCTCAAGAACTGCTGAGTAGCTCCTTATTGAGGCACGACCGTTGAAGAGTTTTATTTCGATCTAGTTATCCCTGGCAATTACTTGTAACTTGCAACTACTTCCTGCTACCCCATGTTGTCATACACAACTCATTGTGTGTACTGCACCTTAATATTTTGAATTCAATTCACAATAATGCAGTTTGACAGCAATTTTTGAGAATTGCCCTATAATTTATTTGTAATTTTCCCTATTAATTAAAATTATTTTCCCGATTATGTATACAGTATAAGGCCTGGAATATTTGAATGCAAAAAAGAATGAAAACATATCACAATTGCAATATTTGCTAAAAATCAATTCAATTGTGAATGAACTATTGGCAACCCTCAACCAAAAACAAAACCGGCGGCATTGACAAATCAAATGAGTCACTCTCAGTTTACAAAAGAGCAACAACACATCTGACTTTCAGCAAACTCCATTCACAAAGAAGCAGTCAAGCTGTTGCAAAAATAACAAAATAAAGCAATTATTAAACAAAGAAAAGGTAATTACACGATGAAATCTATATATTTATGATTGGAAAAATTAAATATCATTGACATTTAGTATAATCATGGCAGATCCACGTCTACGTCAGTTAACAATTAAAACGGGTGTTGTCAAACGTTTGACAAAGGAGCGACAAGTCTATGAAAGAGAAATAACAACGGAACGTAATCGTTTGGAAAAATTCAAGGGTGAAGGCGCCGATGAACATGTCCTGAAAAAACAAGAAGAAGTTATACAAGAGTGTCTAATGATGATACCAGATGCACTGAGAAGGTAAGTGGAGGAATATAGAAACTTTTTTCATGGCATGGCATTTTTGTGTAATGTGTGTTTAGGCTTTGCAGGAGTCACAGTTGACTGATGTTAGTCAAAGTATTGGCTGTTTTAAGTCTAATCATTTTCCTAAAACTAACCTTAAAGTCTACCTTGAAATGTATCAATAGTGAAGTAGTTTCAGCGTGTGAGTCATAAACTCACATATGAAGTAGGCTGTCGCTTCTTACTCATTAGCGATTGTAAAAATTGATTATAGAGAAGCGGAGTCTATTAGAGGTGAACTGAAGGCTTAGAATCTACAATAGAAGAGCTGTAGCCAGAGTATCTATCACAGACGAGCTGAAGTCTGGCGAGTTAAGGCTAGACGAGTTAAGGGCTGGAAGTCCATTATACGTGAGCTGAGGCAAGGGGGTCTATTAGAAACGAGCTGATACCATTGATTCTATTATAGACAAGATGAAGACAAGGGGACATTTAGAGATCAGCGGAAAACCCCGAGTCTGTTATAGGCTAGCTGAGTCTATTATAGACGAGCTGAAGCCTGGTTGTGGTTGTGAAGCCAGAGTGTCTATTAGAGACAAGTTGAGTGTCTATTAGAGAAGATCTGAAGCCAGGGAGACCAAGGAATCGGTTATAAAATAGCTGATACCAGGGATTCTATTATAGACGAGATCGAGACGGGGAGTATGTTATAGATGAGCTAAAGCCAGGGAGCATATTAGAGATCAACGAAAGGCTGAGAGTCTTTTATAGACAAGCTGTTTGTAGGGAGTCTATTAGAGACTACCTAAGAGTCTATTGGAGCGTAAGCCAGGGGATTTGTAATAGACCAGCTGAAGACACTTTCCATACCTATATGTGTGGATAGCAAGATATTTTAAACTAGTTGATTATTGTAACCTCTGTAGCTTATCAAAAACACATTCTCATTACATTTTTATTATTTTTTACATTATACGAGCTTATGCCAGGGAGTCTATTAGAGACTACCTAAGAGTCTATTGGAGCGTAAGCCAGGGGATTTGTAATAGACCAGCTTAAGACACTTTCCATACCTATATGTGTGTATAGCAAGATATTTTAAACTAGTTGATTATTGTAACCTCTGTAGCTTATCAAAAACACATTCTCATTACATTTTTATTATTTTTACAGATTAAAAGAACAAGTGGAAGTGTTGGAGAAATTCCTAGAAGACGAAAAGGAATTGGAAGAAACAAAAGAATATCAAACTGCCGCACAGATCTTGGCCGAAGCAAAAGAAGTTCTAAGCAAGTCATAATAACTGCAATTATTCCAACTCCTCACACATCAGCATCTCAAGCATTTTAAGCATTACTTAAGCATTTATATTTTAACTGTTTTATTCATAATTTATATACCTATTAGCATTAACTAATCAATGCAAAAAAAACAAACATGTCTTCAAATAAATCAAAAAAATGCACAACTCAGGTTAAATTGGAATTTAAAAAAGTCATAGAAAATATCAAATTATTAGAGCAAGCACAACACGAAACGGAATCACAAGAAAATCGAAATCTACAAGACCTAACAAAACAAACCGAAGAACTGCTACAAAAACTTGAAGCAAAGCCATTAGAAAAGTGTGCAGACAAAATACAGAAACTGCAAAGGAAAAGGCAGCGAAAAAAACTCAAAAAGAAACAATGGCAGGCAAAGTTGAAACAACAGGAATCTATAGATGAACTGCCAGAAGAAGAAACTGAGACCAAACCATCTGTTAGCCAAATTAATACAAATAAATCTCACACGGTTCCACATAAACTCCATCATCACTTAAAAAGTCTTCATGAATGTCAACGTTTTTTGAAAACCTTTGAACTATTGCAACAATTACATTTGTCACGTGGCCAAGATCCGGCCAAAACACGAGAATTTTCTTCGAAATTACAATATTTGAAATTTGTTTGGAATTCGCTACTGCAAGAAAGGCAAAATGAGCATACCAACAAGGAACAACAACTCGAAGATGAATGGAATCGTGTCTTATTTGGTATGTCGGAGAAAACCTATTTTGAGGGGAAACCAAATGTGAAATATTTTCTAAGAAAAAGGTATAGATTTGTTGTTGGAAAATTTAAATTATTATTTCTTTCAAATATATTTTATTAATTTCAGGCACATTTGGGATTCTTATATAGATAATACTCATGGTACTTCCATACCCATTGGTTGGGTTATACCTCCTAAAAAACCTAATATCCAATGGTCGGAATATTTGGAAACAAGTTGAATGAAAACTAGTTGATAAAATAGCTTTTGTTCCGTAAATATTAAATATAACTAAACCTTTTTTGCATGTTAAATTTATTAAAAAATTTTATTTTTTTTTTTTTTTGGCAAGTTTATATGGTGGTATCTAAATTTAATTTTAAGATTGAGGACTTTAAATGCAACTTTTTAGAGAATTTGTGGGCCTATCGAACTGATGAAGGAACTATGTCATAGAGAATTCATCGCCAGATGAGCTGTAGTCTCGAATCTTATTGCAGACGAACTGAAGCAGGAGGTCTATTATAAAAAGCTGACATCACGGGATTCATTTAGACGAACTGAAACAGGAAAATTTTATAGACTCATTGAAGAAAATGTTAACATTATTGATGAACTAAAGCCGGAAAGTTTATCTTTGACTGAAACCGTGAAACCTATAGTCGAACTGATACCTTATAGTCGGTTATATGCGGATTACAAGCAGTGAGTACATTAAAAATGAGAAGATGCCACAGAGTGTTATAGGTGAGCTAAAGTCAAGGAATATATTAAAGATAATCTGAAGCTTTGGAAACGAACTCCAATATAGATATTAGCCAGAAAGATTATTTTATTCCAGCTGCAACCAGGAAGTCTGTTCTACACGAGCAAATGGTAGGCAGGAAATGCCAGTCGCAAAAACGTGGATTTTTAAGATTATTTCTCAAAGGAATATCTTTTAAAGGTTTTTCAGGGCGTGAATTTATAAAGAATATTTTTCTGATAATTTTCAGGCCGATAGGCATGGATTTTTAAGGAATATTTTTCAAATAATTTTCGGATTTTTAAAGAATATTTTCTCACATCATTTTCAGGCTCATAGGCGTGGATTTTTAAAGAATATTTCTCACATCATTTTCAGGCTCATAGGCGTGGATTTTTAAAGAATATTTCTCACATCATTTTCAGGCTCATAGGCGTGGATTTTTAAAGAATATTTCTCACATCATTTTCAGGCTCATAGGCGTGGATTTTTAAAGAATATTTCTCACATCATTTTCAGGCTCATAGGCGGGGATTTTTAAAGAATATTTCTTATGGAGGCTATTATAGGCGTGGATTTTTAAAGAATATTTCTCACATCATTTTCAGGCTCATAGGCGTGGATTTTTAAAGAATATTTCTCACATCATTTTCAGGCTCATAGGCGTGGATTTTTAAAGAATATTTCTCACATCATTTTCAGGCTCATAGGCAGGGATTTTTAAAGAATATTTCTCAAAGAATTTTCAGGCTCATAGGCGTGAATTTTTAAAGAATATCTCTCAAATGATTTTCAGGCTCATAGGCGTGAATTTTTAAAGAATATTTCTCAGAAATTTTTCAGGCTCATAGGCGTGACTTTTTAAAGAATATTTCTCACATCGGTTTCCGGCTCCTAGGCGTGGATTTTTAAAGAATATTTCTCACATCGGTTTCCGGCTCCTAGGCGTGGATTTTTAAAGAATATTTCTCACATCGGTTTCCGGCTCCTAGGCGTGGATTTTTAAAGAATATTTCTCAGAAAATTTTCAGGCTCATAGGCGTGAATTTTTAAAGAATATTTCTCACATCGTTTTCAGGCTCATAGGCTTGGATTTTTAATGAATATTTCTCACATCATTTTCAGGCTCATAGGTGTGGATTTTTAAAGAATATTTCTCAAAGAATTTTCAGGCTCATAGGTTTGGATTTTTAATGAATATTTCTCAAAGAATTTTCAGACTCAGGCGTGGATGTCCCGAAGGTGTGGATTTTTCAAGAATGATTTTCAGATAATTTTCAGATTCATAGGCGTGGATTTTTAAAGAATATTTTTTAATAAAGTCCTATCCCAATGTTTCCTATCCTTTAATTAATTTTAAAACAATTCTTTTTAGAATTGCTGACAAATTGTTATGGTAAATTAGTTATTACATGTAATTAAAAACACCCTTTAAAGAAAGCCATACACAAACATGTTTGCCCTATAGTGACTATTATAATTGTTCTATAATCCCTAGATAACAATGGGCGGCGAAGAAAGGAGAATGTTATACGTTGTGTAAATTATTGATAAAGAAAATAGATGACCTTCAACAAATCAAATTATTGCATGTCGGCAAGTATGGCATGTTAAATGTAAACTCTTCCCACATATATATTTCAAAAGAAAAAACATTAAATTTTGACCACTTATTTACATGTGCCCCCCCAAAAAATTAGATATAAAAATAACAAGTGTGTTGTCGCTCAATCACATGCCAATAGATAAAAACAAAACTACTACAAAATTCTTTAACATATAATGACCCATGTAAGCACATTGTCGTATCAAAGCAACTTTGTCAGGTTCCCAATATGAATCACACACTTTAACAGTATTGTATCTATAGCTACGATGGCCCTTAACCTATACACATTTTTATTGGCTGAACTGACTGAATTATATCTAAATCTAATACATATATAAAATGAAAACCCGTTTTTTGGTAGTTGTTTTTTTAATAAGTATATTTTAAGTTATCTCTCTTGTTTCATGGAATTATTGAGAACATTTTTTTTGTTGTCTTATAAACTAAACACAGAAATGCCTGCACACACAATTGGCCATAAAGTCCATTTCAAACAGACCCTGTTCGACCAACGCACAGCAGCAGTGAATGTATTTTTGAGGCTGTTATTTATAGTTTATTCATAAACCCAGTCAACGGCAGCTGGTTTCCAGTTGACAAGTTCTTCTTCCTTGAACCACAAGGCAATTTCCTTGTTGGCAGATTCAACGGCATCGGAACCGTGGATGATGTTGCGGCCAACTTGGATGCAATAGTCACCACGGATGGTGCCGGGCATGGAGTCAGCGGGGTTGGTGGCACCCAACATTTGACGGCCGGTCTTGACAACATTCAAACCCTCCCACACCATGGGAACCACAGGGCCGGAGCTCATGTAGTTGACCAAACCGGGGAAGAAGGGACGAGCAGACAAATCGGCATAGTGTTGCTCCAACAATTCCTTGGAGGCCTATAAAAATGCAAAAAAGACGCACACAATTAGACACACTTGTTGTTAAACAGAATGAATACACATGTTAAGAACAAAAAGATTTTTTTGCACAACATAACCTAACATTTTTAGAATGGCAACACACTTATAAATTTTGCAAATTGCCCAAGGTTATATCACAAGCACCGCTAGAACCCACACACTTTCTTTTTGTTCTTAATTAGATTAATAAGATAAAAAAATAAAAAGACGACAGCTATTAATGATGATTAACTTACCCACATGAACTTCATGGCAACCAATTTGAAGCCCTTTTGTTCAAAACGTTCGATGATTTTTCCAACGAGGCCACGTTGGACACCATCGGGCTTAACCATGATAAAAGTACGTTCCGTATTGCCTGCCATTGCGCTTGAAATCAACGAGAAGAATGCTAGAAGCGATGCGATCATGAACAAAAATTTCAGCTTGCTTCTGCTGCTGCTGGTGGCGTCGCCGGTACTTAATAATGACGTCGCATTCGATGACGTGCTAAATTTTGCCATGTTTTCGCAATTGTGAATGGTGCAAGCGCAAAATGGTGTTTCTTTTTTTGCTAATGACAAATACAAAGCCTATTGTAAATGATTAACAAAAAGGGCAGTTCTTTAAGAATGGCGTACAGAGATTGTCAATTAAGTTGTGTTTATTCAAGAGAGTTTATTTCACTCATGATAAGACGGAAAGTGAGAAAATAAGAAATACAGAAACATTCAAGAGGCGTTATAGCAGAATTCAATGAAAACGTTCGTATTTTAAGTTATTTTTTTAGTAAAGACATGTTTTTCTATGGTAAATTTCCGGAGTACCGGGCAATTCAAAATAGTTTTCTTGTTGATAACCCCTTTTCTGAATAAAGAGGGTTTTCCAATAAGAAGAGTTGTTGTGTTACAAGGAAAAATAAACGCTTACAGTTCAGTTTAATAATATTGTTTAAAGAATTATCTTATTATGTGAGAATTGTATGAGCCTGAAAATGATCTGAGAAATATTTTTTAAAAATCCACGCCTATGAGACTGAAAATGATCTGAGAAATATTCTTTAAAAATTCACGCCTATGAGCCTGAAAATGATCTGAGAAATATTCTTTAAAAATCCACGCCTATGAGCCTGAAAATGATCTGAGAAATATTCTTTAAAAATCTACGCCTATGAGCCTGAAAATGAGCCACTCATATGAGCCTGAAAATGATCTGAGAAATATTCTTTAAAAATCCACGCATATGAGCCTGAAAATGATCTGAGAAATATTCTTTAAAAATCCACGCCTATGAGCCTGAAAATGATCTGAGAAATATTCTTTAAAAATCCACACCTTTTAGCCTGAAAATTATCTGAGAAATGTTCTTTAAAAACCCATGTCTATGAGCCTGAATGTATCTGAGAAATAATATTAAAAACCCTAAGTCTATGAGAATGAAAATGATGTGAGAAATATTCTTTAAAAATCCACGCCTATGAGCCTGAAAATGATCTGAGAAATATTCTTTAAAAATCCACGCCTATGAGCCTGAAAATGATGTGAGAAATATTCTTTAAAAATCCACGCCTATGAGCCTGAAAATGATCAGAGAATATTCTTTAAAAATCCACGCCTATGAGCCTGAAAATTATCATAGAAATATTCTTTAAAAATCATATGACCCTGAAAATTATCAGAGAAATATTCTATAAAAACCCAAGCCTATGAGCGTGAATATTATCTTTAAAAATCCACGAATATGAACCTGACAGCTATTTGAGAAATATTTAAAAAAATCCACGCCTTTAAGCCTGAAAATTATCAGAGAAATTTCTTTAGTAATCTGCCACTTATAATTGTAAGTCTAAAAATCCCTATAATAATATTATTTGAACATTCACAATTTTAATCTAAATAACCCGAATACTTAAAAATCAACACCATAAATTTGTACAGTTACTTTTGACGCTCACAGTGTCATACATGCTGTATTCATTCAAGTAAACTTGATGTCTAACCTGACACCTTAATAATACACTGTTACTATTGTGATTTACAGCCCAACACAATTCATTCACAATAGTCTAAACAAATTGGCAAAAAAACGCGCCGTTTTTTTGTTTATTGCAAAACATACAAATTTTCAAGGAAGAGAAGTAATTAAAAAACACACAAAAATTTAATAGATTTAACAGAATAAACATGCAGGCATTCCTTAAAACCGGCAAAACAACAACAGGGAGCGATAGGTCACAGGCCAGTACCTCATCTGGTCAACAAAGTGGAGAACGTCGTAAACCTCCAGCACCATGGGTTGAAAAATAGTAAGATAGAAGTTTTTCAAGAAATTGAAATTTTTTCATAATTGGTGTGTCTCTCCAAATTCCTATAGTCGTCCCAAAAGCGTTGATGATGTTGTGGAACAGTCGGAAGTTGTGGCAGTGCTACGTAAATGTGTTGAAGGTGCCGACTTACCAAATATGTTACTCTATGGTCCTCCGGGTACCGGTAAGACCAGTACAATTTTGGCTGCAGCACGTCAAATATTCGGGGATATGTTCCGTGAACGTATATTGGAACTGAACGCCTCCGATGAACGTGGTATTAATGTGGTTCGTTCGAAAATTAAAAATTTCGCCCAGTTGACTGCCAGTGGTACCCGTCCAGATGGCCGGCCTTGTCCACCATTTAAAATAATTATACTCGATGAGGCTGACTCAATGACACATGCAGCTCAGGCTGCTTTGCGTCGCACCATGGAAAAGGAAAGTCGTAGCACCAGATTTTGTCTTGTCTGCAATTATGTTTCACGTATCATTGAACCAATTACCTCAAGATGTACCAAATTTCGTTTCAAGCCATTGGGTGAGGTACAGATAATTGAACGTTTAAAATATATTTGTAAATTGGAGGGTGTTAGTATTGATGAAAATGCCTATAAATCGATTGTTGATATTTCGGGTGGTGATATGCGTCGGGCCATAACCACATTGCAGTCATGTTATCGTTTAAAGGGTGCCCAGCATACAATACAAACTGCTGATTTGTTGGAAATGTCGGGTATAATACCCGAGTCATATTTATGTGAATATTTAGAGGTTTGCCGCTCCGGAGATTATCGCAAGCTGGAGGATTTTGTACGCAACATTGGATACGAGGCGTATAGTATTGGTCAAATGTTGGAACAGTTTAATGAATATGTTCTTCGTTGTCCAACATTGACGCATATGCAAAAGGCCCGAATATGTGATAAGTTGGGGGTAAGTTGTTATTGTTAACTATTCGATTAATAAATATAAATTTATGAATTCATTTTTGTTTATTTTAGGAATGTTCTTTCCGTTTACAAGATGGTGGTTCGGAATATTTACAAATTATGGATTTGGGTTGTGCCATTATTTTGGCTTTAAAAGAAAAGTAATTTGATATTATACCAAATCCAGTTATGGACTCATTGATTTACGTTTATCTTATTATTAAGTTCATATTTAAAAATTCAATAGAAATATTAAAAAATGAATTTTTATGAATTAATTTTTAGCTAAGTGGTGATGTCTGCTTCAATTTCCATATAAGTTTGAAACTTGGTGCATCTGCGTTTACGTTGCCAACCCAGAGCTGGAGGTCTTCAATGTCTCTCATAGAAGAGCTGGAGGTCTTCTGTCTCTCATAGAAGAGCTGCAGGTCTTCTATGTCTCTCATAGAAGAGCTGGAGGTCTTCTATGTCTCTCATAGAAGAGCTGGAGGTCTTCTATGTCTCTCATAGAAGAGCTGGAGGTCTTCTATGTCTCTCATAGAAGAGCTGGAGGTCTTCTATGTCTCTCATAGAAGAGCTGGAGGTCTTCTATGTCTCTCATAGAAGAGCTGGAGGTCTTCTATGTCTCTCATAGAAGAGCTGGAGGTCTTCTATGTCTCTCATAAAAGAGCTGGAGGTCTTCTATGTCTCTCATAGAAGAGCTGGAGGTCTTCTATGTCTCTAATAGAAGAGCTGAAGGTTTTCTATGTCTCTCATAGAAGAGCTGGAGGTGTTCTGTGTCTCTTATAGAAGAGCTGGATGTCTTCTATGTCTCATAGAAGAGCGGTTTGACAAAGTCCCTATAGCAATGTTTCCTGTCATCTTCGGTATTCGATTTGGTGGAAAATAACGACATTTTTATTGGTTTGGTATTAAAAAATACTTTAATTATTGAAACATAGAAATAGGAAACAGCTTAAATATTGGAAATATTTATTATTAAACTATATCAAAATGTTGCGCATCGTCATGTTCAAATTTCAGTTGTACTGCAGGGTGGTCAACATCAACAATATCTGTCTCAAGATTCTCATTTATAACCCGATCGGTCACCAATGAAGAAGATCTTGTTGGTAACGTTTGAACATTTTGAACGGATGTAGGTTTAGCAGTATTGGCCGTTGTCGTTTCCATAGGCAACTTTTCATTTCGTACATGGTTACGAAAATTTGAACTATTCACTTCTGATGACGGTTTTGATTTTCGCAATTGAAGTGTCGTTTCAAATGTCAGCATGTCCATTTCTCCTTGAAACATTACTTCGGCAATAAGGCGTTCGGCAAGCCGACATTGCATTGGTTTCATTTGTCGTAGTTTAGCTGCCCAGGCTAGACACAAATAGCCATGGCAATCCGTTTCATTTTGGTAGGAAGGTGACGCTGCTGTCATCGGATGATTTCGATCACTTCGTTTATTTTTTATTTCCACTTTATTGGTTGTTAGTGGGGCAGGTGGTTCAAATGTGGGATCACAATCCTCGTTATCATCATAATCATCATCAACATCATCATCGTCAATGGAGGAGTTTGCCTCAGTTGGCTGTGTATTTGATTGATGATTACCACCGTCACCAGCATCGTCATCGGTTTGATAATGCACTGAATTGGTATTTGTTGTATCATTTTCATTTAGTTGGTCATTTAAACTATCGATATCGTCGTGGATAGATTGGATCTGTAATAAAAAAGAAAGGTAAAAACATAAAATTTAATGGACAATTTTCAATAACTTTTAAGAAAATTTGAAAATGTTTCTAAACAAAAATAATATCCATAGATTTTTTGAGTTACAGCAGTGATATTTAGTCAGATAGTAGGGCAATTCTGATTCTTTGAATTTTCCCCATTTCAATTTAAATTCTATGGGCTCTTTCTCTCTCCCTTTGTTCGCTTTACGAACCATTTTTCATCATCACTTAAATACAAATTTGGATTTTGTTTCTTTACCAACCTCTTTAGCACGGCGTCTAATTGTTTGACAGCTAACATCTAACCCAATTATGCTTTTAATTTCTCTCGGTGTTAAAGGTGACTCCTTCTTATATGCACTTACTATCAAACTGTCCTCCTGGGCAGTAGTTTTACGTGGTCTCCCACCTAAATGTAAAATCTTCACCGTATTCGTTGCACGAAATTTTTTGATAATTCTTGATACGGTAGATTTATTTATTGAGTATTTATCGCAAATAGCTTTTCGAGTTAGTCCAGAGTTTAAATCATTTATTATTTTCTTTTTTAATTCCTCACTAATCTTTACTCTAGCCATTTTTGAATATTCCAGGTGTTACAATTTTTTATTTCATTTTTAGATTAGATACATTTTGTTGTGCAGAAATTTAAAAAGTTTCCATTGTTTTGTTAAGGCTGTAAATATGAGTTTTTACTTTCATTCGTATCAGACCAGCTGATGGGTCAATGATATGTCAAACAAATGTCAAATAATGCAAAATCCATGGCCTAATTATTAGGTCGTAGAGGAAGACCAGATTTAATCAGGAATTTCCTTGGTAAAATATATTCTTGATCAGAATAAAATTCTATGCAGATTTAGCCATGTTCAGGGCACTGTTTGAATTCACAATAGAGCTCGCAATAATTAAGATAGTGCTCTGAAAATTTGCAAAGACATCGCTAGTATTTCTATACCACGTTTCGGTATAGCCCCCATATAACGGCAACCCTTTTTTTCAACCGAATTAGCATTTAGTTGGTATTTGGGATTCTCAATGTATAGCAAACCTTCCTACTAAACATCGTAATTGTTGAGGTACGAAGATGCAGAACCAGACGATGCATGACAAAACGACATGTATTCTGTTGCTACAACAACAACAACTAAAAATCGTTTCCACGGCAGAGGGGTCTACGATCCGAAACGACCCGAGTCTTTCTCAGCGAACGTCTGTCACCTCAGCCCATTGTGTAAAAGCAATAGGACTGCTACAACAACAACAACTAAAAATTATTAATTTTGCCATAAGTTTTGGAGGTTAGACCCTATATAATGGTAACCCCTAATATTCGGTATTTTGGTGATGTTGGACATCTGTATAGAGAACCTTTTTAATAAAATTATTAATATTAACCAATGTTCGGATTTTTGGGTGGGATTGGGCACGTTTTTTTTAAATGAATGAGTTGTAATTTGATATTTTGAGTTCTCGATGTACAGCGAACCTTCCTACTAAAAATTATTAACATTGATCTATGTTTCGAGGTAGCTCCCATATAGCGGTACCCTCCAATACTCGTTTTTTTGGGGATATTGGGCAAGTTTTTCAATCAAATTGGCTGTTAATTGGTATTTGTGGTTCTAAATGTATAGCGAACCTACCTACTAAAAATATTTATATACAACGGTACCCTCCAATACACGGTTTTTTGGGGATGTTGGGTATGTATAGCGAACCTATGTACTAAAAAGTATTTATATTGGCCGAAGTTTCGAGGTAATCTCATGGTGTAGGATATAAAAATGCCAGGCGGTCCGAACTTTACGACATTTTTACTAATTTAATTTTTGTTTTTTTAGGTTATATAAAATATGATAAATTTTGTTTTTTGCCCAGGTTATATACAATTTTCTGTAATTTAATTTTAAAGTTTGCTGTAATTTTAAATATCCTCCATTAGGTGTCAAGTGTTCCTACCAAAAGTTGTGGATATCGTTTGATTTTTTGGTATAGCCCCCACATAACGAAAACCGCAATTATACGGATTTTTATTTGTTTCTAATTTATTATTTTAAAATTTGCCAAAATGTAATTTTAAATACCCTCCAATTTTCGATATTTTGAGAATTTCAGATTTCGTTTTTTTTACCAAATTGAATATAATTTGATATTTTGTATTCTCATTCGTATCGAAATATTTTGAATGTCGGTCCATGTTTTGGTATAGCCCCTATAAAGTACTCGAAATTACACGGAATTTAATTTAAGGCTTAAAAAAATATTCTTTAAAAAATCTACGCCTTGGTTAAGGTTTGAAAAACATTCTTTATAAAATCTACGCCTTGGTTAAGGTTTGAAAAACATTCTTTAAAAAATCTACGCCTTGGTTAAGGTTTGAAAAACATTCTTTAAAAAATCTACGCCTTGGTTAAGGTTTGAAAAACATTCTTTAAAAAATCTACACCTTGGTTAAAGATTGAAAAACATTCTTTAAATATTCTACGCCTTGGTTAAGGTTTGAAAAACATTCTTTAAAAAATCTACGCCTTGGTTAAGGCTTGAAAATCGGTTCATGTTTTGGTATAGCATCCATATAAGAGTACCCTCAAATGTTCGGTATTTTGAGGATTTTAGACATATTTAAACGAATTTCTTCTAAATTGATTGTCCACCTCGTAATGAGGTGTATAAAAGATCGGCCCGTCGGAAAGCCGATTCCAATACATGATTCATAATTCTTGGCATATGAAGAATTATTAAATAACCAAACCCCCTCTTTTTCTTTTTATGTCTTGGTTTTCCTGCTATCGTGAATGAATATAAAAAATAAATATAACCATCCATATAGAAAAAATAAATATAACCATCAATAGAAAACAACAACAACAAGTCCAATTAGCACATCATACATGTGTATTACATACACAAAAAGACAAACAAATAGCCAACCTTCTCACCACAAAGCTCTTCTCAAATAAAATAGCATTTTTATTATTAAACTTTTTTTGTTCATTACCTTTAACTTTTTACAAAATGGATCTTCGCGAATGAATCGCTGAACCGTCGACAAACTTGCCTGCACACCAGCGATTTCTCTAATTTTAGAAATCGATTCTGTGCTATTGGCTGCTATTGCCCGAATAGCTCGTTTATCGGCCGACGAAAGCACTTGATTGTTGCCACCAATGAAATTGTGTCCATACTGCCTCGGATTACGTAGATAATTTGTTATTGCTTTACTACTGCGACCGGTTATACGCGATATTCCGGCTATTGATAGTTTTAGTTCATTTAAATGTTCTATTCGTGCCTTTTCCTCGGCTGAGAGAGATTTGCCTTTACCCATATTTTGTTGAGGCTAATTAGTGCGTCTATTCGTGAACAAAGCAAAGTAAACTGAGCTGTAAAAATGCCAACCAAAGCATTAAACAGCTGATAACAATTTACACACAGT